GGTCTTCGGAAATCCACCCTATTAGATACACTTGTTACTATATTTAAGGAAATTAAATACTACAATTACTACTTTTTCAATATTTTATTTTCATAAAGCTTGAAGCCTTTTCTTCCAAGCTACATCTTCCTCTTTGAACATCATCTCTATTTGCTGTTGATTGCAGTGACATCTATTGGAGAGGCAGCGTTTGGCTACATGAGCTGCCTCAACTGAAGATCAACGTTTTCTGGTGATACCCCCCACTCAAATCAAAGCAAAATTCAGGGTTGCTCTTCCTTTGTTTTAGAACAGCTGTGCATAAAACAGACTCCAAACAGCCAGATACCCAAGAATTATATTATGAGTGGGTTTGCTTTTATTCAGTAATTTGTTAATAATTCTGTTGCTTTCCCAAAGTGCTGATGATTATGTTCACATCCTCACTCACAGCAGTGCACAGATACTTCCTGAGATCCTGTTTCTGCACACCCCATGTACTTGACCATACCTCCCTCAAGGAGCACCTTTCACTAGACCAGGTTGCTCCAAGCCCCGTCCAACCTGGCCTTGAACACTTCCAGGGATGGGGCAGCCACAGCTTCTCTGGGTAACCTGTGCCAGGGCCTCACCACCCTCACAGTAACAAATGAAGAGTCAAATACTAGAGAAGTTTTAAAATCTCTTGCTTTGGTAGAGAAACGACCAACCTCAAAAAGCATTTTAGGAGGATAAATCATTATGCTTTCTTAGAGCTTCATTGATTTCTACATTATCTAGAGACAAAATAAAAGGAAAGGGGCATTATTATCCCCTTATTAGATACAGTTTAATACCCTTGCAGCCAGGAAGTCTGAGCACAGCAGTAGCTTAGTCCATTATCTAAGCTACCTTCCACAAATTTTTTATTATCATCTATTTTTATGATTTTAAACTTATTTGAAACCAACCAGATCAATCTCAGTCAACTAACTGACAAAAGATTTTACTAAAAATGTTACAGCAATTGAAACTAAGGATTTCAAGTTCTTTCAACAGTTGCCTTTTTAGTTTTCTTAGAATGGCTTTTAAGGCCTTTCCTATCTAATTTATGATTGCTTCAACTCAGTTACAAAAGTATATCTAAACTGTACGGTTATGAATTCCCCCAAGGAAAATCTTATGAAACATTCCATTACAAACTACTCTGCCCATCCATTTCCTCTGCTTCTTTTTACTACCAACCCCTCATTATAGCAATAGGCCACAACAGGGTGCACATTAGTCCATTAGCAGATTCTTAGTGCACACCTCCAGCCATCCCCCACTCCAGGAAAACACATCAATGCCTATTGATGCAGTTACAGCACAGCTGCTCCAAGTACAAATAGCTCCTTTGTATGTTCTCCCCTTCTTTTACTTGTTTTGACTAAAAAAAAAAAATCCTATTCAAAACCTTATGGTTTTAAGGTTTGGGAAGTCTAAAAAAACCTCTTTCTCCAAAATAACCTCTGCCATGGACAAGTGTGGGAAGGAATAACTCCAAACCTATGTTGTAACTGTAATCTTTTCAGGTTTGGAAGATGATGGATTTTGAAGGCTCCTTTTGCAGCAGGATGCACACGGTGCAAGTTGTACAAAAACTATTTTGAAGCATAAGCTGAAAGCCCTAAAACAGCAAAGTCAAAGCAAAGAGAAAACAAAACCCACGTCACACAGTGTTAGAGCTGGATAATGATAAAGATTTAACAGCATCACTAGAAGAAATAAAACAAGAGGAAATACTATTTTCAATGTGCCTTCAAAGTGTAGGAAAAACCAGCTAAGAACTTAGGATATAATACTGGAAGTACTTGTGGTATGAAACAGAAATATAAAGGAGAAGCAGATCTGAAACTTAAGGGTCTTAGGTGCAAGAAGTCACATTTGAAAAAAAACCCAACAAAACAGCTGGAACTATAAACTTCTCAAACCACAGAAACATGGAGGATATGTATGGAGTTTCTCAAGACCAAGAGGTACCTCACAGTTCTATTCCCAACAAGGATTCACCCTTTTTGGATCAAAACCAACCCTTGAAAAGGGAAAACATCTACAAGAAATTACTGTTTGTTCCAACAAGTCAGCAATGAAAGCTACAGTTTCAGTAGTGGAAAAGTAGGAATAAAAGGGAGCATTGCCAAAAGGCAAGTGGATTTAGCTCCCACAGGGGAGATTAAATCAATACCAAAAGGTTTTTCAGCCACTTTAAGGAGAAAACAGACAAAACACAGAGACTGTGAGGCAGTATGGATGAGACAGAAAGGAAAGAAAAAATTTCTAAGCATGGCAGGAAGACTAACAATGCTCTGCTTTCATTTTCAGTCTGGGGAATGACGAAGGATGTGGAGACACAAGATGAGAGGACGGGTTCAAAGAAGTGACAAACAAGGAGAAAAAATGTCAAGTGGAGCAAGTAAAGTATTTCTGGAGTATGAAAGAAATTGATGAGCAGGTTCGTGACACTGCAGCTGTATTAATAAGAATGTTAAAAAAGAAAATAAAATCCATCAGGAGCACAACCAGAGGATGGATTTAACAGCTGTCCCACCTCAAAATGCCCTCCAAGGCCTTCCATGCTATGAAAGAGATGGAGAACTACAGGGAGCAAATGAAAGAAGGAGAGGTTATGATGTGAATTTACCTAGGCTGACACCACACCTTCCTTTTTAAGATACCTTATCTTCTAAATAAGGAAGACAATAAATCTACCTCACCTGTTCACTTATTATTAAAGTTACAAAACCAGTAGAATTAGTAGGATAAGTGGGTAAGGAACAGATCCATATGAACATGCAAATGGACAGTGTTAAAAAGACAAGTGCTGGCCCGGGTTGAGATTTCTGGAAAAGGTGCTCAAGAATCAGGACAGAAGTTATGAACATCAAGCAGTTCACATAAACAATACTGTACTGGAATTCACAGAGAAAACTTTGTTTTTCAAGTGATCACAGAATAGGGACTCTGTAAAAGCCCATTCCACAGCTGCTGAGATGCTTAATGTCATTAAGTACAGTTGGATCATTTCTAACTTGCTTTTTACTTCAAGGGTTGAGGCACAAACTTAGTTTAAGCTTCCTTAGCCTGTTTTTTTATTTGAAAGAAAAAGAATGAGGTGGGGGAAGAATAAAATGGAAAATGCACGTCTTGGTTTTCCACGATTCATGGAAAAGATGGTTATTGCAAAACATTTTCAGTCAGTAAAAAGGGGAGAGAAAAGGAGATTCCTCTGAACAAATGTGTCCTGCTGCCAAGTCTGGTAGGATTGATGAATTTAATATCAGAAGTAGCTTTACCTTTTGCGCTTTCAGACTCAGCCGGCAATATCGTTAGGGATGGCAGAACAGCTAAAAAATGACCAAGCCCATGAATAAGGAATTATTTCTGAGCAAAGTCTTAACTGAGGTCTAGCAAGCTCTTGGATTGAGGCATATCCTAATTAGACAACTCAGGCGTCAGCCTACTTATCACATATATCCTTTAACTGGGAATTATAACTTTAATAATGAGCTGAAATGAGTTTGTTACTATTGGAGTTTTACTGAGTCTGTTTGAATTCAATCCAACATCCCCAGAGTCTGCAGTCAAATATTCCTCCCTCACTACCATTCCCCACAGAAACACTGGAAAACCTTCCTGAGGTAACTATGTGGAATACTTCAAACCAGTGGGATGACAAACTCAGTAAGGGGGAATTCTGGAAGTATCTCAGTTCAAGAGCTCACAACTTTCCTTCAAAGCAACAGAGGCAGACCTGAACACACTTCTCTGCCCCCATTACCGTTTCCATGAGAACAACCTTCCAGAATCCTTCTTGTCTCCACCAAAGCAGCCCTAAAAGTGACAAACCAACCAAACTCATTAATTATCTCAGCTTCAATGGCACACCACTGCCAAAGAAATCAGCAAGAGCAGCTGGAAGAGCTTTCCCACCAGCAGGCTCCAAGTTCGGGGCTTCCACTCTGAATGGGAGCCACGGTTGGTTCAAGATCAAAAGCTACAAAGGCATCTCTCTGCTTTGGCCGATCCATAACCAGGGTAAACAAAAACCTCTCCAAGACAAAAGATGATGAGAAAAAACCACTGTAGCAAAAAAATACAAACCAAACCCCAACAAAAGCCCACAGAGAATCACAGAGTGTTACGGGGTTGGAAGGGACCTTAAAGATCATATAGTCCCAAGCTGTTCAAGGCCTTATCCCACCTTTATGCTGATTTGATACAAAAGAGCATAAAGATAGAAAATAGAAGGTAACTTATTTTAGAAAGTAATTTAGGACTCCTAACTGCAATTCTAGTATTTCTAAATATTCTAGTAGAAAATAGGCTATGGATAATAACATTCCATTTAACCAAAGTTGTAATTCTCAAAGCAGTATGCTGGAATCTAAGTCATGCTGCCAGAAGCTCTCAAGTTCCACTGCATCCTACTCTTTAGGTCCCTACTCTTTCACAGAGTGCATGTTGCTGTAATTCACTGTAAAATCTGAAATGGGACAATTGCAAAACCTTTCCCATAAAAGGTGCTACAAAAAAAAAAAAAGGGTCCTTTTTCAGTAAAGTACGAAACAATAAATCAGCAGGTTTTTTTTTTTTTAAGGAAATTATCTTGCTTGAACAGCATTGTCTGGAATCGCCTGCAAGATTTCTGGACAAGAACTATGCACCAGTGGTTCTCAACCTATGACTGCTCAACTAACACTGCAATTACAACAGTAAAACATAACATCTGCATTGCCCAAGCAAATCCTCTAGACATGGCTTAGCCATTTTTAGACTGAAAATAAACAGAGCCCTTCCTCTATCTTTTCGGAAGAGCTGAGCTACAGGAGCCTGGCTGGGAAGAAAAGATGATCTAAGTCACAAATCAGGTGGAGGATTGGATGCTACAGCCACACTGAGCACTACTGCCCATAACACAACAATAAATGGCAGACAGGTTTTATCACAGTCTGATTGAGTTCCAGAAATGTAATCTGATGTAATGATTGTGCACTACTCACTCTCTGCACAAGCATCCTCATCCTCCTCTTCATCCACGACAGCTTCCTCTGCGTGCAGCCTTTCAAGGGCTCTATAAGGAGGTGGCAGTTTCATGGGAGGTGGAGCCCCATATTTTCTCTGATGGATTCAAAGACAAACAGTTACATGTTTTGTAACCTCCCTACACACGAAAAAAATCCTACTGTCTATTGTCACTGTACATGCACAGACACAGCACTTAATTACAATGCTAAATTCTGCAGCAAAGGCTTTTTGTGCAAGAAAGCAGAACAAGAAGTGACATTGAACATTAAAAAAAAGAAAATAAAACACAACTGTGCATGCACATTTACTTGTTGACAAAATACTTCTGTATTGTCATAAACATGAAAGTGTGGACATTATTCAAGGGTTAAAAATAAACATTAAATTACACCCTGTTTCTTATTACAGACTCAATAACTGTCTGGTGCTGATAAATGCCAAACTTTTACATATAAAATATGAACTCAAGCCTCTTAGTCCATATATGAATATTTAAACATCACAGTTCATCCTTATTTTGGCTTAAATTTAATAAAGATTTTGAATTATATCTCACAATAAAATTCTATTACCTCACATAAATACAGGCAGCTCCTATAATGATGCATGTAGCGGTGCATGGCAGGAATACAGAGCAGGTTCTGATTCTAATGAAGGCACTTTTCGGCTGAGCAACTGGTTTTATAGCTCCCAGGAACTGGATCCTGCCTTAGTTTGCAATGTGATTTCACTAAATGACGCTGAGCTGCATCCCTTGCAACCCTACTAATAGCAGGATGCACTTTAGAAAGGGAACACCGTGGACAAGATGCCATTAGAGCACCCACAATGTCCATAATTAATTTCTTCTACAGCTGGGAAATATGACACAACACCCAAACAGCAAACCCAGGATAATGTTTTTTCACTGTGTGCAGCCAAAACCTGCGTACGGAGTTTTAAAATCTTGAGCTTAAATTTGTACAGAATAGCATAACTAGGAAGCTGCACTGCAAGCTACATGGAAAATTTGGTGAGGTAAGACAACTACCATCTCATCCATTTAAAAAACATAACGGGAAAGTGTTGCAACACTTTTTTCTGCTGAAACAGAAAAGCAATAATAACTGAAATTAATTCAATCCACTTGGAAACACAACAGCTGTTTTCCAAAACTGTACAATACACTAGCCGTGCCTCCCACTTTTTTCTTGAAGCCAGCACAGGTAGAACTGTGCAAAATCCAGAAGATCCAGGAAGCATGATAGGGCTCACGTTCTACTTTACTGAGCAGATAAAGATGGAAAACCTGCAGCCTTCCTTTCGGCTGCTTATGACAAATGAGTCACTTTATTATCACTATAATTTAGTAATAACTTACAGTCTAAATGTTGACCCTTTGGCTTTTTAAGACCTTAAACATTTATTAAAAAGTCTGTTTGAAATTACTTGAGACACCTAAGCTTATCCATGGTTTCTCTGTAAGGCTCAGAGGGACAAGTTTCTCTCATCTCTCCTGGCCCACTGAAAAGCCAGATGAATAACTTGTATCTGACTACCCTATTACACTACTTTTTTGTAGTAACACAGAGGCAAAAGCACAGTTTACACAGCCAACAAGCAAAATCATGTTGATATCTGGTTTGTCCACAATTGTTTTAAGTGGTTTTATATAAAATAAAGTGAAAATTTTTAAACAAATACATCAACGGAGGAGGATAAACACCAACAAATCAGGCAAAACCTTCAGTATTGAAAAAATTCATCATACAGAAAGAGGCAGGTTTTCCAGCTGCATGTGGCTGCTTTCAAACCAAACTCTTTTGTGACACTTTGAAGACTGGACTAGAAATATCACTGATTCCCCATAGGGATGTGGACTAATAATCCACTAATAGCAACTCTTTCCAACTCTGAGACGGCACTTCGGAAGCGCAGTACGACTGCTTTGTGAACTAATGTTCAAAGCTAAAAAGGAGCTACATATTTATGCACTGAAGCTCTTTATTCCACCCACCAGTTTATAGCACCAACAGATGAAAAAGGTTTGAAAAAGATGAGGCTCCCTCTTTAACCTCGGAACGCTGTAGAACGTGACACGCTGGAGTGCTGGAGATTAAAGGCAGCACATTGCAAGAGGATGAGAGCTTTTGAGATTAGAAATATAGATAAAAAAACCCAAGAAAACGGGATTGTAACTGCTTCATTGGAAGTATTATCCACTGGCATGAAAGCATATCTTCAACACCTTTCTTGATTTTTTTGAATAACTGAGCCTTGTAGCTTCTGTACCTGAAAGGAAAAATTCTGGAGGCAAGAGGGTCTTTTCAGGTACCCAGAGTACTGAGTAGGATCAAACGAAAAGTTCATCCTATTTGTAGCTGGCATGTTAAACTGCACCAGGCAAAACTTAGTGTCTGCGTTAATTCTGTCTCTGCTCCTCCAGTTCTGACAAACTCTGAAAGTACCTGACCTACACTCCTTAGTCAGGGCAATTCCCACAGGAAATCACCAGGCCATGACAGTGACATGGCTGGGAATGAGAAATTAATTTTTTTCCCTCACTAAAGCCATGAAAACAAATTCACTGTTTTATACCAGACTTTTTCTCTTTTAAAACTGCTGTGAAGTTATTTGGAAGTCGCTGTGTAGTAACCGCTTCACAATTAGCTGAGCAGCTACAGATCCCTCGGTCATTTCCTTGTTTTACACAGCTATGGGAAATGCAGGAGACTCAGTGGATTTAATTATCCTATAACATGATTTTACTGAATTTCAGCCAGCCTCAGATTAAGGATACTATTTGTGTACACGTTGCTATTTCTCTGTTTCTGCTGAACAAAAGAGAATCAATTTGCTTCCATATGGAGCAAAACAGGTACTTCAGAGAGATGACAGTGAGGAGCTGTGCTAAGTACAGGGTTTCAGCATCCAGCAGACACCCACAGAATATTTGTCAGAAACTTGACTTGTATTTGGCAGAAATATGGCAAAAATTCATAGAATCAAAGATATTTCAACAAATCACTTCAAATTTAATTTCAGACTTCAGAGGAAGCTTATTATAGAGTTAGAATACATGCTATTATACTGTTTGATACAGTAAAACTTGAGTATAGCTTTGAATGGAATAAATACCTTATCGCTCTTATTTTCTTTGTCTGCATCCTGATCTTTGCTGACTTTGATTCCCTTAGGCTGGGCGGGAGCAACCACCTGAAAAATAGTGTATATTACACACATCAGAAAGAGCATTACAACTGCAAAAAACCCACCCAAAATCAGTTCGTGACAATGACAAAGTTACCCAGTACTCTCTTCATTTTGCCCCATGTAGAAGGGCATTGCAGTGCAATCTTTATATTATATTCTTTTACTGAATTTAATGAATTACATTATTTTCCTAAATTTACAAACATTCTATACTTTTTTCTACTGCTCACTGATTGATATCAAGCCCCAAAATCTACAAGAATTCCCAATTAACCTCTCAAATTACATCAAAAGCACACACAAATTTGGGGTTTCTGTGTGTACTTCAATGCTGGCAGAATTGTATGCCTTTTCTTACTCAGATTTTTCAAAATTTCTTGCCTTGACCTCAAAGATGAGGAGATACCTAAAATCTCTTGGAAATTAACTTGCTCCCAAATAACTACTTCAGGTCCCTTTGGTGACACATTTTACATGGAGCGGCTGGTGTAAATCTGCCTAATTTTAATTACACCTTTGTTCCTCTGCATAACAGAGTATATTTTTAGATTATGAAATATGGACAAATTAAATACACAGGGCCAGACTCTTATGACACAGGTGGGAGAACTGAATTAACACCTAGTCAGCCGATTTATATCTACTCAAGGTAAATCAGAGAAATGAGGTTTCAAATCAGGCCAGAGAAGTAATCAATCAATCAACTGGTCTATAACTGAAAGGATCCATCCTTGGACACAAAAATTGATGGAACTTGCTGAAAGGAGTTGAGCCAAGCTTAAAATAAGATGCATATTAAACATTTATTAAGTTTTGAAATAAAAATAGAAATAAACTTACTTTTGGTACGTTAGCCAGACCCTGAACTACAAACACAACAGGATTTCCCGCGTTCTTGATGGCTTCTACTGCTTCCTCGTGGGTGGCATTTTGGAGATCTATCCCAGAAACCTAACAAACAATGTTTATTTTTATTAGGTACAGAGTCACTGCAAGAGATTACACACACTTGTAGAAGATTAGTGTATCTGAGGAAGGTATCAAAAACAGTCGAGAGAAATTATTTGTAAAGTATGTTTCCATAATGGTTTAAGGAAAATTGTATTACTTAGAATTCATACTTAAGAGATGGCCATACGTCTCCCAAAACAATTCTTCCAAATAAAAACATAAGGAATAAGATTGTCAGAGTGTTACATAATCTTAGGTATAATATAACTCTTTTAGATTTTACCTGTTTGTAAACTAAACCTGAGCAGCACTATTGGCTTGGGAACATAGATTCAGAAGCATTAATTTGGAGAAAAATGAGTAAAAAATCAACACAGAGCCAGAGGTGAGAGGCAGGAATGACACTTTCCCCCACAGCACCTCAGAATCAGAGATTTGCCCCAAACAGCGATTAATCAGTTAACTACTCTAAATCCACACACACAAAATAACAGCCCATATTTCAGTATGAAGAGCCCATGTTCTTCTCTGTGTTAAAATTATGTTTATAGGTACGCTATAAGTTATTACTCATTTATATGGGAAGAGGGCACTCGCATTTTTTCATTTCCCCTTCAGACACCAGACCATGTCTTTTCTTAAATATAAAGGAGAATGTTAAAAGGGCTCCACAGTCAGACCTTAGGAAAAAAAAAGACACCATCAGAGGTTTCTTTTGGTTTTCAAAACACAGTTTTGTCAATACTTCATGAAGTGGTGGCAGTATTTTGTCTCTCTCTCCTCCCAAAGCTGTTTGAGTCAATCTTTATTTCTCAGACTAAAAAGGTAGGTTTATCTCCATTTACCTCAAGTATTTTATCTCCAGTTTTTAAAGCCCTGGTTCTTCCTGCTGGGCTGTCTTCCAAAACTTGTTTGATAAAGATCCCTTTAAGTTCTTCTCCATTCTTCAGGCGCTTTATGACAGTTTGTCCACCAACAATACTGATTCCAAGAGACACGTGAGGGTCTCTGAAGATCTCAACACTGAAAAAAATACATGTGGTAGTTTAACATCTTCAAACAGTTTATTTAAACTACAAATGTGAATCTTTAAATAAATGTAAGCTCCTGGTCTTTCAAGGAGATTTAATAGAGTAAAGAGATAAAGTCAGAAGCCTAGGAATGCTCTCTACAGAGTTTTTACCCTGAGCAGATTTCACCCCACAAAAAGTACAAAATTCTTCTGCCAATCCAGGTCCACTGGGCAGAGGTTTTTATTTCAGAGAAAGTCAGATCTTCAAGTAAACACTCATCCTCTTTCAGCTTTAGGAAATTGTCTGGAAATGGGAAGTCCTGCAAGTGGCACACTAGACAACTAATAAAGTGTTTCATATAACTTTCTGAACGCTGACTGTACTAATCAGCTTAAACAGGAACTTTCTGATCATGTTTTACTTAGGACCATAAAAACAATTCACCTAAAAATGTTAACAATACAAGAAGGACATGGCTAAAAGTTAGCCTGGCAATTTGGAATTGTGCCATGGATTTTAGCAGGGAACTTGTGGAAAGGGAGACAGCAGCACTGTGTGCATTGTTCACACCTAATAGTTATTAAATGAGCAAGAACTTGTAGGTCATCCACAACGTAAACCAGCCAAGCTTTCCCAAGTCAGCTGTATAAATAGAAGGCATAATTCTGTTGAACATCTGTTAAAAATTCACTGTATCTAGGAAAGCCCAAGGTACACAAGTACCCTAAAGTTACTGGCAGAGGAGGAGAATAAAAAAAACAAAGAGAACTAATCGGGCTCACAGAAAAAAAAGACATAAGGTAAATGGGAAGGAATAATGTAATTATATGAACATACGTTCGTGGTGGTCCCCAGTGGCTGAAGTTTGGCGTTTCTTCTCCTTCTCCTTCTTCTCTCTCGGGTAATTCACTGATTTGGGGCAGAGGGAGGGGAAGAATAAAAAAATAAAAGAGGCATCACCCATGCCAGGTCACAATTCCTTACATATTTTTTATCTGGCAGCGAGACAGCAACACCTTCTCACACTGTCCAGTTTAAACCAAATGTACAAAGTCAACAGACTAGACAGGAATTTTTGTATTTAGGTTTAAATGTACTTCAGGAATGCTCCAGAAATAAACATGATGGGCAGACCAAATTTATAAGCTGCTCCATGATATACAAATCTGCACTGCATTTACTCATTTGAAATGACTATTTAAGCAATTTTAACATTTACTTTCTGATAAATATGCTGTGATGCTTAGAGAGGGACATAAACATGCCAAAACCAGCCTAGCTGACCAGAAAGCATATAATGATGCAACTAGGAGAACAGAACAGATCCTGTGTGTTCCAAACCTACAGAATAATCCCCTCACCTTACTGCTGAGCTGCTTTCCCTCTAAGGGGAGATCACAGATGAATTAGGGAAGTACTAAGAATTGGAATCAACAGGCTACAAAAGCTCCACTACCCACTCACCCAAAACTGCCGGGGAAAGACTGGGACACTTGACAGATATGGCAAATATTTACAACCAGTGCCAGCTCAAGGTTTCTCAGCACCACTGGTAAAACTACGGTTTCCTGTAGAGGTCTGAGAGCCATGGTTGAACTGCTCTTCCCAAAAAGAACAAAGGAAAGGGAAAACCAAGAGGACAGAGCTATAGTAAGGAGCTAAGGGGAGAGCAATGCTGCTGTAAAGGCTACATCCCTCTCCTCCAGGACACATCCATACTCCCCTCACCGTGGAGTAAGAGAAGGAGGTGGCAGAGTCATTCACACCTTTCTGCCCAGTACTCAGGGGAGGAAACATGGGAAGTTTTAAGGCAAACTTCAGCTCCTTGGGCAAGAGTCATCAATGTATCTTAGCATTTCACACAGCCTTTAATGATGAGTCAGTAAAGTAAATAAGTAAAGCAAGAAGACAGTTAAGATCTTTAACTGAAAGTCTTTCAGAACCTGAAATATTTCTCCATACCTGCATGATGCTGTTTTAGGCTGAGCTAAGGTGGTTACTCTCCCAGATTCCAGGTTCTTAGAGAAAACATCATTCTCTCCTTTTAGCTCTTCCTTTTCAATAGCTTCCAAATCAACAGCAAGCCCAGGCCCTTTAGAGTCAATCCGAAGCTTTGTTCCTGGAGATGAAAAGGGGTAGATGAGAATTTTTACTTCCTCTGTCCCTGCACTGACCAATTATCATCCTTGAAAATAAGCCACTTAGCTCACCAGGTTCTAAATGTGTTCAAAGTCAGGTTGGACGTGGCTTGGAGCAACCTGGTCCAGTGGAAGGTGTCCCTGCCCATGGCAGAGGGATAGAATGAGATAGACATGAAGGTCCCTTTCAACCCAAACCATTCTAGGATTCTATAGTTCTATGAAACATTGATGTTGCCTTATTATCAGGAGGCTTAGAGATATAGAACATTTATTTTTGAAGGAAATTTAAACCACACTAACCAGTTTTTTATAGCACCTTGCTTCTGATGTACAAACAGTCAAGTAATAACAGGAAACAGATCTCTGTGGAACTCAAGACATTCTTTGGTACAACTTACACGTCAGATGCTCCTCACAAAAACACATGGTTAGGAATAGTGAATCTATCCTTTGCACAGGGACAGCAGATCCCTGCTCCAGTACAGAATCCCATCGTGCTGGGGAAGACTGATGTCATTTTGGTGACAGAAGCATCAACATTAACGGAACCACCAGAGTTCCAGTCTGTCACTGCAGCTCACACACAGCAGTTGCTGCACAAGGTGCAGGTGGCAAAGACAGGAAACAGCCCAATCTCCTTCCTCCCAACCAGGGAGTGTTACTTCAGGCAGGTTGATAAACTTATTTCCCTGATGATCTACCAAATTCTAACCACCCATGTCTGGCCATCTGACAAGGAGAAACTCTGCTCTTGAACACAGATTACAAAACCAAGATATGGGGCAATATCTACTACAGAGTTCCCTTGCAAATTTTTGGTTGTGGTAAAGTCACCTCCAGAGCCTGTTACTTAATTTTTAAAATTATTTTTAAGTGCAAAAATCTATACAGTTAGCAGTCAAAAGTGACTGAGAAAAATTCCTGACAGAGGTTACAGCAATAAGCTATTTTCCTTATGCACAGAGTCCTCCCGGGGACATCAGCTATCAGAATATCCCCCTCCTGGGGACATCATCAGAATAAAGTGATTTCCACAGGCAGAACAAAGCTGCAGCCCATGTCAGTATCATTTGTGACAACTGTGGGTAAAGATTATGGAATCGTTTGGGTTGGAAAGAACCTTAGAGTTCATCTCATTCGACCTCCTGCCATGGGCAGGGACACCTTCCACTAGACCAGGCTGCTCCAAGTCCCATCCAACCTGGCCTTGGACACTTCCAGGGATGGGGCACCCACAGCTTCTCTGGGCAACCTGTGCCAGGGCCTCACCAATCTCTGATTAAAGAATTTCTTCCTAACTTCTAATCTAAACCTGCCCAGATTTGGAGGAGGAAGAAAGATTATAAAGCTGAAACCTATTTAAAGCCAGACTGTGTTGAGCCTGTAAAAGTCTTCATTTAAATACTGTATTATTTGAAAGAATTTGTATTTTGGTATAAAATTTAAATTTGTAAATATGAAATTATAAGATAAAGAAAAAGCTTCTAACAAACCTAAATCCATCTTGCTTTTTTCTTCTGACTGAGTAGTTTTAATATCAAATATGTCCTTTTGGTAGCCACTGTGTGCTGTGGTTCCAGGAAAGAGTGACCTTATAGTAGCATTTTCTTCACACTTCACAGAGGAGAAAAAAAGTAATTAAAGTTAGAAAGCAATGGTATTAACTTACACAGAGGTATTTGACAGGAACATTAATTTTTACAGCAAACATACACATTTTCTCAGCTATATTCATATTTATTCAGATAACTATGAAATGCTAACTGCTAATTTAAATACTAACTGCTCATTTATGCACTATATTAAGAAGAGGCATGAAAAATGTTACATGCAATTCCAATATAAAGCAACTGCATCTTTCTACTCAATGTAATTCAGACAAAAAGTTCTTTACTCTTGCTCATTTGTTGTTTATAAATAAAAAATATATAAATTTAATATTGTGCACTCTGGTATAAAACTTTCAGTAGAAGTTGCATTTTAGCCTGTTTATGTACATAGTGCATAATGGGACATGCCAAACAAAACCTGAAATTCTCTGTGGCTGTAATGTTAAATCCTTTTCCACTTCAGTTTTTTCATATAAAAGCACACACCTCAGAAGCTGGTGCATGGGAGGCTGATATTATCCCTTTTTTCTTTGGTAAGGGAATGAACAAAGAATCAGAAGGAAAAAATAACTCTCAGAATACTTGAGAAGGACATATAAATGGGAGTTCTGCAATTTACCTGAAGCTCTGTCTTCTCCTACTCCTTTATCCACCAATATCCTTGTTACAATTGCTTCCACCATATCATTTTTTGCTCAACTGTACTATCATCTGGCTCAAGGAACTGATTTGGATTAAAAATTTCACTTCCTTTCAGTGAAGCCTCTGGACTATTAAAATCCTGAAGTGACATTCTGCTGTTACTGACATGCACCCAATAAGTAACCAAAAGAACCTTCCAAAACATACAAAAGGTTTCTGTTAGAGGTACCCAAGTAATTAAATTAGAGTTTAAGTCTGGAGTTTGCTGTTAGGTCTGGGTTCCATGGTGAGGGTACAGCACTGAGACCAGCACAGCATTCCTTACCGTTTGATCTTTACTGAATGGATATTCCAGGGACTGTTCTGGACTTAAATTAATACTGGATCTCAAGTCTTTTATTTCAGTACTCTCCAGTTGCTTTGCCCATTGTTCTGTATCGAGGTTCCTGTCTGAAGTTGCCTTCTGTCCACAGGATGCTTTATATTTCAGGAAGTCTGAGTCTTCTTCATACTCTTCATCCACCAGCATTTCCCGTTCTTCATCCATGTCTTCTGTTCTGGGTTTCAGGAATTCACACATCTCCCAGGACTCCCTCTCATCCTCATCGTCATTTTGAGAAAGCTGAAATGACCTTCCCAAGTCCAAATGTGGTTCATCAACAAGTTCTTCTTTAAAAGGTGTTTCATCTCTGAAACCCTGCACAGAACATTACAGGAATATAGACAGATTTTTACCATTATGTTTCCTCTTAACTCTTTCAAAACTATGGGTTTTTATGCATATTAAAAGTACATCCTGATTTTTAAAGTGAAAATCTTCTACCTTTCGCATATTCTAAAAGAAAACAGACTCTCTGACTTATGATTTTAATGCCAAAAGTAGATAGTGCAATGAATTTTTTTTAATATAACAAAATTAAAGTTGCACAGTTTAGATATGGCTGCAGCCATTTAAAAAAAACAATCTGGACTGAAGTTAGGCAATGAAAATTATTAATTAACACTAAAAAACCTACAGGAAAAAGTATATATAAATCCGGTTAAAGTATCTCCATGCTTCAGACTTACCTGTTTTATGTACATTTCTTACAATATCATCAGCTAAATAAAAAACAGCTGAAGAGTTTGCTTATGCAACAATACCAGCAATTAAAAAAAAACCACAACAAACCCACAAACCAAAAGCCATAGTCCTTTGTCCTACCTTGGGTATTCCACACAATATTTAACCTAGGTCAGAGGGGAAATAGATGACCCATGTACTCAAAGAAAAGGATATAAAAGTATCAGTATCTAATGCCCTTCCTGTTTTAAAGAGAACAGTGCTCACTTTTCTACTCAATTCAAATCACAGAGAAAAAAACCCAAAAAACAAACAACAAAACCAAGAGAAAAAGTACAAAAATCCACTCTGAAAGATCTCACTCAACAGCTCCTTTTCTGGGATTTGTCATGTGCCTCCCCAATTTCCAGTAATCCCTGTTTCTCCCAAATGGAATGGAGTGCTGTTCATTGGCTCACAGTGAGTCTGCACAGGCATCAGAGACTTTATGCCTTGCACTGGAACCAGAATTTTGCTACACACAGAAAGGTTTTACCTTCCTTTGTCAGGCCACCAAGTCTGTGTGGCCTGAAGAACCTCAAAACCCATCTTCAAGGCCCCGAACCCTCAAACTCCAAAAACAATCTACAGATTCAGGGCTCCTCACTCAAAATGTTTTTCTTTCTGCTTCCTGCCCCTTCCCAGACTCCCCAAGCTACTGCACCATTTCTGACCTTTAATATCAGAACCCTGTGTTGTTACATTTGTACAAATACAGAAGAAAAACCCTCAGACGCTGCCAAAATGTTTGTATAATTCAAGTGAGAGGCAGGAGAGAAAACAAGAGAGAGGCAAAAGCATGAGGAAACAATGCAGTCAATACCAGCTGGCACAAAAGCAGAACACCAGCAATCTAGAAATTAGCACATTTTTCATAAGCATTAAATGTTCCTTTAATCTATTTGACCTGTGTACCTCGATCTCACAAAACACCCAGTCTGAAGAGATCCAAATTCTCTACATCTTTATTCCATTTAGTTTCACTTCACTCCTGCAGCATCATTCTCCCAACACTTCCACCAACTCCATCGTTACATAAAACAGTTGCCTGAGCTCAGAACCACACATAATTTGTGTTACTGATCCAGCAGTTTGCTCTGTATCATCCTCGACTGCTGCACTGCAGCAGCAGACGCTCCCAATGGCACAGAGAATGCTGCAAATATGACATAAAGTCTACTGTGGTAGCAAATAAAATATCCAAGTTCTTTTTTTTTTTGTTGTTGTTGAAATTCAGCTTTGTCAGCACATCAGAGTGGGAGCCATCATGACACACCACTCTTGGCTCTTATATGAGCAGATAAGATAATAAATGGATGGAAATTTTAGCTATTTACCAATGGTCTTATACATGAGGTGAAACAAAATGCAACCAAACACCTCTGAGGTCCAGTTTCTATATTCAGCAGGACTTTAAGATAAAATACTTTCTTTAAAAGTAATAACATGAGTTTTATTTAGGAAGCAGAGAAACAATCTGAGCTAGCAGAGGACTAATTCTGTGTCAGGAACCCTTCCTATACACCCGTAAAACAACAAACTCCAGTTTACACCATGAAAATCAGTAAATATCATTTATCATTATCCAGATTAATTTCTTCATATATACCTACATCTGCCCCATAATACTGCTCCTTTTGGTGGTTCCAATCTGTTTGCATCTAGAGATACATAAATATGTTTAGCTACAAGAAAATCTAGAATTTATTTTTCTTCCTGTGTTTCAGTTCTGGAGGATTCTGGCATTGTCTTCTCTGGTCTAAAAAGAATGCATTTACCAGTGTGAATTCTGCAAAGCACTCGAGAACAGATGAAAATTAAAAGATATCCACATCTCTAACTCTGCACTGGTGAGTACTGCAATATTATTGCCTATTACCTCAGTATTTGAGTTTCTCACTATCTTTAGTGCCACATCCCTCCTCACAATAAACAGAATTATTTCTCAGAAAATAAGAAAGAGGAGAATTGAGGAAGAGAGCAAAGAAATCACTCCAAAGAACATCAGAAGGCTATAAAGAAGAACATATTTCAAGCGTGACTTATACACTAAACTACTTTTTTGTTTTGCTTCATTATAATCAAAAGCATTCTGCTTCCATACCTGATTTTTTTTGCAGAGCTGAACTCACTACTTTTGAGTAATATTAACACAGCATTCCTATTTCATATCCAAGGTAACCCAAGGTATTTTAATGACATAATAAATTTGATAAAGCAGCCTGGGAACTGCATTGGTAAGTGTTCTCTGTTCACAACACACAGTTTGCTGTTAAGAGGCTTTTTCAGAGGGAACCCAGCCTGAAGTCTACCCAATACGCCAGTCTTATCTCCAAAAAAATTACTAGTTTTTTACTTTAAAATATTATTTCCTGTCTGTATAAACTTAAGCTGAACGAAAAAAATAACCAAATACCTGTGGTGCTTCAAGTATTATTGAGAAATTAATGTTATCTATTGGTTCTGGAGACCCAGGGCTGGTTTTAATGCTGCTGGTATCCACACTGTGCATGTTCTCCTCCTCTCTGCTTTCTCCCTAAAGAAGGTAATCCAAATGATGAGTCAGGAAAACAACAAAAAAATTCCCACATTTTTCAATAAATTAAAAGGTAGAGGGAGAATCAACCATACAGAATTATAAATGTGGAAAGTCATAAATGGAGAAGATGAAGACAACAGCTTCTGTTTTTTGAAGATACTGGCTCAGATACACAAAAAAATAATTCAGATACACTAAAAAATAGAGATGTTTCGGAAAGAAAGACAAATACGAGGATACGAACAATGAAATATCACATTTTAGAAAAGAATGTATTTAACAGCCTTCCTACATTCCTATTTCACCACTCCTCTACCACTTTGAATTACAAGCACTTTCTATTAGCTGGGGCTTTAATTAATTTTGCCTGGGTGCCCTTGATGAACAATAGTGCAGCGTTCTCCAGTAAACTACTGTCTGTTCCAAAGCCCTGATTCTAGAAAAAGGAAATTCTGCTTGAATTTACAGTCTTGACTTCAAACAGATTAGGTTTCTTTGATGTCAGCGGAGCTCAAGCAAGCACTTAGCAGTGTCTTAGAGTGAAATGGACTTCAGCACATATTTAACTGATTTGCTGAATTGCCTGAACCACGTTACACCTACGCACAGTGCACATGGGTTTGCCCAGACACGTCTCCTGATTCCACGTGGATGTTCTTTAAGGAGGAACTTGAGGATGCTGGTTTTCCAGTCAGACCTTTTGGACACTAAGATGCCCATTTGCCAAGATTTCTGGACATGTCGAGGCATATGCACAGCAACTTAGTTGCTTTCCAGATGCACACATATTTCCATTCTAAATTCTCCCCCCAGATACAACAGCCCAGTCATAGGACCAAAGGAAAAAAAAGTTAAAATCAGTCCTTACCACCAAAGGCTTGCAGATTCCAAGAGAAACTGTACCTGGGGGCACAGATTTCAACACTTCCACTGCCTCTGCCAAAGTGGCGCTGTCCAAATGTTTCTTATTGACGAAGACCAAGCGGTCCCCCGGTAACAGCTCCCCACCACGCTCAGCTACTCCACCTGCCACCAAGGAGCTGATCACAATGGCTGTTCTTGTTGGATCCAAGGGATCCTGTGGGGAGGAAAAAAAAACCAAAAATTGAAAAAAACCCAAGTGAAAGCCTTGAAGGATGATGTTTATTTGGAGTATGTAAAGAGCACTCAAGCACGTTCATCATTTAATGCTACAGAACGGAAGCCTGCTGAGACATTCAAAAAGGACTGTCTGCTAATACTGCCAAGGCTTACAGTTCACAAAAAGAAAGATATTCCATCACTTGCCTAATCCATTAAGAAATTTTCAGATCTGAAAGGTGACCGATACCCTGCCTGCCCTCTCCTTACACACACAGGCACAGCCAGGCCAACCTGCAAATAGAACAACAACACTGGCACCCTTCCACAAGCCTCCATCCAGCCTGGGACGAGCTAATGTCACAGAAAATAACCATTCTGCACGTCACCTGAGAGCTCCAGAGCAGCAAAACTGACGGCAAAAGGAACCATTGCAAGATTAGAAATTTAATTAAAAATATTAAGTTAAAATTAAACCCCAAAACATTCAAGAAATAGCGGTTAACATTTGCTCTGTTACTGCACTGTTTCTGCTTTGTCAACTGCACATGACAACTTATAAAAGACATTTTCTCCACCCTTGAAGCTTCCTTAAGGTACAGGAGACAGAAACAGAAGAGTAACTAAGATTATTACTGAAGACAAGGAATACTGTAGTGGTGGATATAGAGAATGTGAAGCAGAAAATATTATACACATTGATGAGGCTGTAAACTGATGCAAAGATATTAACTTCACTTATTTTTTCCCCAGAATTAGCCTCTGCTTTGTGTCCTGTACCATTTCTATCATGCATGCAACCATTTAACAAACGATCCTCAATCCAATTAAATTACTATAAATTATTATACAGTGGCAGAAAGAGACACAAAACAAATTTATGTTTTTTTTTTTAATTTTTAATTTTTTTCGTTTGTTTTGTTAAAATTACAATTAGCTTTTCTCCCCCTTGGTAAGGGCTCACAGAGTTCAGAAATGCTCCTTGCATGCACTAGGTCTCCAAGTGCATAATCATGGATTGTTTTTCCCTCAGGACTTGCATCTTACTCAGGGAATAGGAGGGATAAAAAAAAGGGCAAAATTCAAATCACAAAGACCACCATGAATTCAGCACCTCAGTGTTAATTTGAAAACAGGAATGCTTTTTAAACTCTTTTATTTTTATATGACTATACACTGCTTTCCAAGGGCACAAGTTTTTTAAGGTATGTGCAAACATATGAGGCAATGACTGTAATATCTGTAAAAGGCTGAAATTAGAGACCTGAAATTAGAGTTTAGCAGGAAAAGCCACGATGAAGCTGGATTCAAGTAAACACATATCAGCAATAATTCTCTCCTGTTCTACTGCTTAATCCTGCTATTTTATAATCTTCCCAAACCTTGGGTATCCGCACTGCACAGAAGAAGCTTCTTCATGAGTATCACGTCTTGATAATCAAGCCCAGAAGCTTCTCTGTGTTCTGCCTCCTGAATCTGTGCCAAGGAGCTCCGTTTGTCCGACTGTCTGTGCCCAAACCTGCCACACACAGTGCCCAGGGGAAGGATTCCATGTGTTTCCAACAGCAAGACAGCCACACACTACATCCAGTTTGGAAATTTTTAGAAGCAAAACAAAACACAGGAAATTCAGAAGGAGAATCCATATGAATTCCAAAATATTTATAAAAAAAGAGGGTTTGCTTTAAGTGTTGAATTTTGACAATTAAAATTACTGCTTTAAATTAAAGCCCTTTGCTCAGAGTGGGCTTTGCCTCTGTGCCCAAACAGCTCAACAGCCATAGAACAAACATAGACTTTTGAGGTGTTTTTACTCTTCAGGTTTCCTTCAATGCAAATTAAAAATAACCTTTTGGATGTTCTTGCAAACCCAGGATTGTGTCAACACAGCCATTTTACAGCAAGCAAGGCACTGTTCACATTAGGAAAGCTCTACTGTAGAACTAAACCAGCAAGTTTTCCTATCATGGGCTCATCTTGCCGTGGCAAGGAAGGTTTATGCTGGTTCCCTAAATGGGTGAAAGCTCTCTCAGCAAAACTACACCTTTGCTGACACAACAGCTTTTATAATATGACTTCTGCTGGCTTAGCTATATTGATAAAAAATGAACGAAACGAACCCAGCACTCACCCTTACCCATGCAGATAAGCCAACAAAAATTCTCTGAGTGAATGACTGGTCCAGTAATTATGGTACGGTTGAGGCTTGGGGATCAGGTTCAAACCCTGCTCTGTTTGATCCAAAGCTGCTCTTTTTTCGGGTTCTGAATCCAAATCATTTAGGTAGGACATGGGAATCTCACCATTAGCTTTTTATGTACAGATATTCAAGGTCAGTGGCCTAACTACTGCATTTCTAATGAGAAGCAGTCCTGTTTCAACTTATCACTGAAATAAAAACATTTTTGCTCAGTAAATCATCATGTTTTGTTAAGAGATAATTTAGCTGAAAAAAGTGTTCCAACTAGCTTTCCTCATGATAAAAATGAAGAGAACTCCTGGAAAGAAACAGCTCTTATGAAGTGAAGTTTTGAGGACAATGTGGTTATTTTTGCTGCTTCACAACATGCATTGGAATTGCTTCATGAAGAGCAGCAGCAGAAATCTCAGAAAAGGGGCCCATATTAAAAACTGTTGTTCAGGTAAACAGAAAACAGGGGTTACAATTCCACTGTTGATTTCAAGCAGAGGGAGCTGTTGCACAGGGAGAGAAGAGCAGGATAAACTGCACAGTGAGAGCTAAGGCAGGAACACCAGCAGTGCTGTAAAACCCGAGTTGATCCCAGTAACTGAATCACGATGCCATTGCCATAAGGAATGCAACAAAAGCTGCACAAGAAGACACAGACCTACCGAATTTCAAGGAATAATCATGTAAACATATTAATATTCTATTGCAACTGTGGATTGCACAGTGCTTTCCTTATCAAAACCAAAGGAACACTGTTTTTTTTTTATATCTTGCCTTATGATTTACACTCGAGCCCAAGACCACCCTAAAGAACACCACCTGCTAAAACAAGACAGCAAACATCAAATTCACATTCACATTTTCTAAATGGGGAGTGCAACTGGACTGTGTGGGTTGCTGTCTTGTTTTTGAAAGAAAGCAGGGCTAACAGCAGGATAAAAAACAGATTCTATACTAACTGCAAAAGGTACAGCTTGTATATAGTTAGGATAGTTAAAAGGCAAGTTCACTCCCACACTGGGCTTTCTGGGCTGTCTCCATGTTAACAGACCAGCTAAAACCATTCCAAGTTACTAAACAGCACTAGTTGTGACTGTACACCCACCCTGAGGCTCTAGATTCATTTTACTTGCCTAACATTAAGCCAGACAGTAAGTGATTTTTAGTTACTAGCAGTCAGGACCAGAATTCAGTCTGTGCTTCAAAGTGAAAGGTTCATTTACTTGGATGGAGTTTACAGGCTGGGGAGAAACTCTCTCCCTCCAAACCCAGCGCTGAGATGTTGCTGCAATGGTACTCAGGATACAGAAGGGACTCAAGTTCAGTAATTCAAGAAATTATTACGTGACTTTGCATTAGAGCAGAGGGAGAGTGCACTAGACAGCCCCATGCAACTTGGTCGTCTTGAAATGAATATGAATAGTAGAATCATTAAGAGTTGAAAAGATCTCCAAGATCATCATAAACCAGGCCTGGTACCATTAAAGAGGAACTTTTACCTTTACTGCAGGATTTCTTTACACAAACAAATCATCTATGAACAATGAGGAAAGGAACTGGACTGCAAAGTAAAGCTATGAGGAGACAACCCCCCTTAACTCTCAAGCACTGACACCAACTCTTTTGTAGAGTAGAAAAGTTTGCCACTTGTATAAACGCTGAAAGCTGCCCCCTGCCATGCAGCTTCAGCAGCCCAGGACATTGGCCTTCAGGTAACCCTTTAAAGAACTTGTACTTTGTGGCTGGTGTCTATCCCTTTGTGCCCGAGCCAGCCATGGAGAAATATGAACTTGTTTAAAATAGTCACAATTTATTCATACTTAGCACACCATATATTTAACTATGTTGAACCACAGGTTTTCCCTTCCCCCCCCATGCTCCTCATCAAAATCCACAAATGTTTCCTGGAGTCCAGGTGTCAAATTTTTCTTATTATTTTCAGAGCCTCATTTGTTCTGGATTCATTTAGCAGCGGAGAGTCAATCAGGGGCCACTGCAGTTGCTGCCTCTGGGATCCCTGGATTTGGAGCAGTATGAGGTCTCTTAAAAACCTGAGCTCTGCTAAAATGTTAAGAGTCCCAGGAGCAGCAAGTTAAGAGAGTCCTACGTGCAATGCTGGAACTGTAACTTTATTGTGGCTTCAAGTGATTCGACTGCCATGGGCACCAGGCTCAGCTGTCAGAGGGCCTTAGGAAGCAAATCTGGAGACAGAACCAACACAGCTTACCTCTGTCCATCACACCGGAAAATTGAAATGATAAACCAGACTGACTCTTTCTTGTCCTTTCCAAACTGTGAGGTGTGCAGCAGCCAAGAGAGGGCACTCCAGGCCAGCCCAGCTCCCACCACCACAGGCACTCCATGCTCCAACAAGTCCATCCCCATCTGTCCAGCCCCCAGCCCCAGCAGATCCTCACTAGGCTGAGGATGAGGAGCAACCCGGCCCAGGCAACAACTCCATTGGATGGAAGCAGCTACCAGGTTTTCTGGGGTTTTGTTTGTGTTTTCCTCTTTGAAAGGCTCATATGAAAATGTAAGACAAAGCTGTGGGTGACTGACATTCCCTGTGCAAAGTCACTCTCACTTAGTTACAGGCTATATTAGTTTTGGCATCGCTTAAGATCTAAATCCAGCTCGCCTGACTTCCTAGAATATTTCAGCTTTCTTCAAGCAACAAACTGCCTGCTGCCACAAAAACACACATGGAAAACAGCATGGTGAAGGATCCCAAAAGAAACAGTTTGAAACTTTTTTTTTCCTGTACCATTTTCTGATTTATCTGAACATTTTTACAAGTGCAAATTTGT